ATGTTGTGGGTTTCAACAATAAGACAAACGCTACACTCCAGGGGCTCCCAGTCCTGGGTCACTGCTGCTCATTAACCAGGTGAATCCACCTGCAGTCCTGTGAAACTCGGAGCCGCTCTGCTGCGGATCTTCACTGCGGGCTCTCAGTTCAGGGCGCTGACTTCCGGGCTGCAGTGTTACAGAGCGCCCGTCATGACACATGTGATCCTACTGGAGCAGGGCAGAGCCAGCGAGGGGAAACAGGGTCAGAGACCGGCTCACAGCCAGGCGACAGAAACTGGACACTGGTAATATTTCAAAGGGTGCTTTTGTTTCTTGGCAGCCCTCCAATAAAGTATCCAAAAAGGTTAAAATGTAAATGAAATTCCTTTGCAACTCCAGTTTCCGTATAATTTCTACTGGTAGTTTAGTTTGAACAAACACCTTTTAGATAATATTACGCTCCGAAGAAACACCTCTGATTCCTGCGACACTGGCCTCTGGATTCTCGCCCTGCAAGCAGACCGGCCTTCTTACTCAACAGTACCGTCACACACGAGCTCTCAGGGCAGTCAGCTGCTACAGATCCGAGCGGTTACCTGCACACCCGGCGCCTCTCTCACACGCCGGACAGGGCAGAGGCGCCGTGACGTCATCTGAGCCCCTACCACTTCCTCGGGCTGCGGCAGCCACGACTGAGGTCCCTCGTGACTGAGCACCCCGATACCGCAGCTTCTACCCAAACAAACGGGAAACCCGCAGCTCCTGGACCGACTGGCCCTGCTCTCCTGTCAAGGCCGGGCAACACCCGAACCAACAGCACTGACGGGGCAGAAAACACACGGGCCTGCTTCCGGCTCACCTCTACTTTCCCCTCCAGGCGAAACAGCGCCGCCGGGAACGGGGCGCTCCCACGAGCCGTGTCGGGGAGCCACACTGAGCAGAGCCAATGCCACCCACGGCCTCGGGAACTGGCACGCGGAGGCCTCGCGCCCACCTCCTGCCGTGACTTCCCTCGGAAAGGGTCTGTGCCAAGAACACCGCCAGCGGCGAAGGCCTGTTTCTGGAGAACACGAGCGCACAGTACCTCAGTGTCTGCAGTCCCGGGGAAGCGCGCACTCACGGGCAAGGGATCACTTCTCTGGACTCGGTGCTCCCAGTACATTTCCACCCGTGAGCTCCCGGGCGCACTCTTGCATCACCAGCCTTTATTGCACTACAAGACGATTCCTTTATACCCCTGATTGGGATTTTTAAAGTCCCCTCTGCCACCGAGGACGGACAGCGGACTGTGCTCCTGGGCCAATATGAACTAGAGAGCGCGTTTATACCCCGCGCGTACTCGCAGACTGAATCGCTCGTTTAGCACAGCTCTACCAACACAAACATGTGTTTCTAATTAGCCCGGCAGCCTAATCGACCAAACATTATTCTAGGGCACTTAATGGCGCGGCGCTGTTCAGCGCAGTAAGTCCAGGCACACTAATGATTTATTCCAGCCCGGCAGCGCAGATGTTGGGGTTAAAACGCAAAGCAGTTTCAAAGGGGTCGCTGGCGACACAGTTGCTAAGTGCAGCTTATCTTTCGATTTCTTTGCCAGAAGTTTGTGCTTCGTCTTCTGGACTCGGCGCAATTGGACAGGAGGCTTCGGTCGTGCCTGCGTCGCTTCTCGCAGTATTTCACTTCAGGAAACTGTGGAGCCCGGCTGTCGGAGGCGAGGACCAGAGGTGCTGAAAATTATAACAGCATGTAAGGTGTTCATCAAACTAAAACTGAAAGAGAACAGGGGGAATGGTCCACCCGAGTCGTGTTTTAACATGCTGTCAGACTCGAGCTGCGCGTACAAACGAGCGGGTGTTCACCAGACCTGTCCTACACAGGATGGACACGTCTGACGAGCGTGCTGAGAAATGAGGACGATTCGTTTCCTGGCTTACAGGACAGCTCCGCAGAGAATTCCTGGAGCTGGCACACACAGCCCCTTCCCGTAGGGACTCCAGGAAAGGGTTTTCTTCAGTCGCAAGAGGAAATTTATTTTCGCGCTCCTCAGACTGCGCGACGCTGCAGAAAGCCCCTGAGCTCCGAGAGGCGCTGTGTCGGCGGCGGGTCTGCTGCTCTCTCACTGCGCGACCCCCTCCGCGGGTTTGAGACTGGGGGTCCGTCCCCGAGACCACGGCACTGATGGGGATGCCTAATACGAGGCATTGTATATGGCCAATAAAGTGATTTGATCTGATGCGGCGCGTTTCCCAAGATAGTCGTTTTTATGAGCGCCGCTGGGCTGAGACACGTCAGGCGTCTTAAAACGTCAGTGTGAAAGACCTTTTCTAACCCCCGGGCTACGGATTCCTCACAGCTCTGCTTCCGCGACTCCTACACGAAATTAAAAATCCGTGCTCGGCCGACAGAGAGAGCAGAGGCACATAAAGAGCTGCACGCAAACGGAGACCAACCTCATACAGACGCGCTGGAATGAAAGACGCTTTTTGTACGAGGAGGTGGAAGTTAAATGCTGCCTCTAACACAAACGGTTTCATTTCTCGGGTTTCTGCGCCGCGCCACTTGCGCAGTCAACATTAATGAGAGT